AGTATGAGTGGTCGAATGGTTCAACTTTCTCCAGCTTGCATTGATAGATCATTTTAACGCTTGCCCGCTGGGCGCTGGCAATGCAATTTAGTCTCTTTTTTTATCTTTTTTTTTTTAAATGAATGCAATTAATGGTTGGGCGGTCATCATTACATTTATATATGCGAGAGACAAAATAAATTAAGGTAGTCAAATATTTGGGGAAGAAGATATCAATGTTCGAATCTCGATAACGATAGTATAGTGATTATATTCAAAGTGAATAGATTTCTTGTGCCCATCAGCATTTAACTATGTCTGTTGAGCCATTGAATCACCGTTAAATACTGCTAGTTATGTTATGATGTGTGTGGTCATAATTCATAAATCACATCAGGGCAGCCAGGAAGTCCAACATGCAATTCTGTCCCGCCATGTGTAGTGAGACCAGTACCGCGACTACTATTATGTTTCAATATAATCAAAGTTGTACTAAATTAAACTTGCCGACATGTTGGTAACAAGGAACAACATCTATCAAACCCAACTCATGCATTATATTATTCATCCCTATTTATACAATAAATTAAAATCAATTCATTAAATTAGCTAGCTTCTGCATGCAAAAACTGATGACTCAAATCAAATCGAGACGACTTAAAATATAGACTACATGAATCATGTGTATTGAAAGCAAAATAGAATTTCAGATTTTTTGTCAATCATTATTGTGTGGACTATACTTTCAAAAAATATAGATTCAATACACAAATAATGTATTTTTAATATATTAAAAATGTACACTGTATTTAGGAAAGTTACATTATTTGAGTATTGAAAATGCATTATTTTGTATAATATATATTCAATACACGAATAATGTACTTTTATTATATTAAAAATGTATTTTTTATTATGATTCACATACCCCGTTCACACAATAATTTGCCGAGAAATACGAATGGTTATTGGGTAGGGAATTGGTCTGCTCTTTAGTCTTTTATTATCACATATTCATCTATAAATAAAAATACAATCGTTATACCCTACACTACGGCGCGCGTAGCACTGTGCGCCGCGCGCCTCCCAAAACGACGTCGTTTTGGAAGGCGCGATAGGAAATTGCTGTGATTATGTATATTTGTTCACACAATTATGTATATTTATTCATACAATTATGTGTATTTGTTTATACAGTTATGTACATTTTTTATACAATTATGTACATTCTTTTTATACAATTATGTACATCCGAATCAGAAAATTTGTGTGTATTATGTTAAAAGTTTATGTTTATTATGTATTATGTTAGATTATGTGTATTATCTTTTAAAAAGAGTATGTATATTTTGTTATATAATTATGTACATTCATGTATACAATTATGTGTATTCTAGTATAACATTATGTACATTTTTGAACAGGGGTTTTTTTTAAAAGAAAAAATAACTGCCATACACTGGGGCAGAAAATTTCAAAAAAAAAAAAAATTAAAATGACGTCGTTTTGCATCTGGATGCACAGTGCAACGCGCGCCGTGGTGTAGGATATAAATTGCCATAAAAATATAAACAGCAAATTTCTTTTATAAATAAAGGCTATCACTATTGGGCTTCCGATATGGGTCCAACAGATCTTTAACCTTAGCAAACACGGGCACACGGCCCAGTAAACCGTCAGCATCTAAAGACTAACGGTTACCGGTGTTTCCCGGGAAAGCAAACGGCCAGCCTACACCAGCTTTCAACTAACGCACACTTCATCAAATATTCTTTCCTTCATTGGCCATATGTTTTAGTAGAGTTTTTTTTTTTTTTTTTTTTTTTTTTTTTTTTTTTTTTTTTTCATATGTCTAAATATATTCTCCGTATAAGATAACATTTTTTGTCAACATAGTGAAAATTTAGAACAGCAATTAGTGATTTACTGACTCAGTAAACAATATTTAGAATAAGAGATTAATATCGACATTGACTGATGTACATCCTTCTAAATATTTTGTCGAAAACATTATTTATGATTATAGTATAGATTTAGTCATTAAATTCTTAATAAAACAACGAATTTAACAATTATAACAAAATCTATCCCTTCAATAACTATTTAAAATTAAAATTAAAATCACAAATAACTTGTTAATTAATTCTATACTATAGTTAAATTCAAAGACTACAAGTATAAATTTTTATTCCTTTTTAAAAAAATTTTAAAAATTATTTTTAAATATTTTATTATCTTTTAGATTTTTTAAAATTGTTTGAATTTAACTCAATTTAGTACAAGTCAGGTGTTGAGCAGTATACCATTCCAAGTCATTTGTCTACATAGTTGTTACAGAAACCAACTAACCAACTAAATAAACAGCATTTAAAAGGGAGGCTTTCATTTTTCTAGGCAACAAGTCAAATAAAAGTACAATAAAAACATTTTTCATCTGTCATTAAGTCAATGGATAATTAATTAATTAAGAAATAACCTTTGGAATAATTACAGAAAATTAACAGAAGGTCAAACATAAATATTTTGTGCAAACCAGAAAAACCCAGAAAACTCTGCTGTTCTTCTCATCTTCTGTTGCTGGTTCATTTTTGGACTCAATCCATATTCCAGAACAACAGGGAACAGGAACTGGAAAGCTGGAACAGCCTGTCCTGAAACAAACATATCGGTTTCTCTGCGCTGTGGTCTGTGAGTTTGATATGTTCAAGGAAAACACCCATGTTTTAACATATCCATCCACCCTGGTGGCCTCGTATCAGATGATCTTGTCTCTGCCGCCCATCCTTCTTCTTTATTGAGATCTGTGATTCTGCAGTCTTAAACCCTCTGTTTTTAATCTTGGGTCATCTTCTTTTTCTCTGTACTGCCGCTGGGTACTCTTAAAAGTCATTACTTTTTGTGAATTTCATCACTTTGCATCCTTATTTTGATCAAACCTCCTTTTTGCAATCTTGGGTCATCCTCTTTTGTCTGTGCTCCCACTGGGTATTCTTCAAAATCACTCCTTTCTTGTGAATTCCATAACTTTTTACATCCTTGTTTTGATCAAAGTCCTATGTTTTGTATGGAATTTTGGTACTAAATTGACAGTTTTGATTGATTCTTGAACAAAATCTGAGGATTGCATAGTAAACTTGGTTAGCTCTGTGTTCTTGATTTATGAAGTTAGTTAAGTTTAATGAAGCTAGTAGGCGAACTGTTTGTTTCCTGTTTCTTTGTAATGTACATTAATCTATAAAGTTTTATGTTTTTGTTATTGGTTAGTTGTTGTACTTGTGTCCTTTTGTTTCATATATCTAATCAAATTAGTGTTTATATTTCTCTATTTTGTATGTTCACAGCTATAGGCACAGTTTTTGTGTTGCTCTGAGGTGGAAAAATGGGGGAGAAGGGAGACATTTCTGAGTACAGAAGTCGACTCGATAAGACCTTGTCGTGTCATGATCTTGTAAACGAGGAGGCACTTAAGGGTCTCGTTAGGAATCAAATCCTAAGCTCGTCGAATTTTGAGATGGAAGGTTTGTGTGTGTAGTTCTTAAGGAAATTGTGTGTGAAATGAAGACTAAGTAAGCGCAAAGATGTGTGTGGTTTGCAGGCTGTATAGACAATGTAGTGGAAAGAAGAACCGAGGAATTAGGAAACACTCTTGGCATGTTGAGAAGTGCCTCGTTGAGTGATGAATGGAAAGTAAGTTATCTGTCATATTCGCTGAAAAAAAGCGTTTTTTCTTGTTCTTGATTTTACCCCATGCTGCAATGTTCTTTGATTCAAGAAACGAAGAGATCTCTAGTCGTTATTTGTTGGATCGCCTTATTTTTTGCAGGTAAAGCAGGATTCAGAAGAGTTTCGTGTTATGTATAGAGAAGGACCAGAAGGGACTCCTTTCCATACACTCTTAGTTGAAGGCTATGTAGATGGTCCAATTGATGTTTGTAAGTTAAGCTAAAACTTCTGGCTCTTTTAATGCTTGTTTGCTGCAAAATGGTGACTTGAGAAGCTGGTTCTTGACTGCTCTATTTGCAGGTATGTGCATCTCGTGGGAGGCCGATCTCTACAAGAAATGGTAAGAATTCACGAGATTTTATAAGTAGAGGATGAGCATTGACACGCCTGTGATAACTGCATTACGGGTTATAAAGATCATATTTTTCTGTTCTGTTAGGTGGCCTCAGACTAGCGTTCCATGTTTCAAGATCGCTTACTCTCAGTGTTTACAGAAGGTCAGAATTGGTGAACAGATATCTTTAGTAAGGATGAAGCTTTCATGGCCACTGTCAACGAGGGAGGCTCTTGTGCACTATTTTGAGTTCGACTACTTTCAAGATGGTCTGATTGTTGTGCTCCTGAACTCGGTAAAACTATGAACACATATGACTTTCCTCCCACGTATAGGCTGTAAAACTTCGTTATTTGTATTTGATTCCAGATCTCCGACTTAGAAAACGTTGATACTAGTACTCATGGATTCGCCCGAGATGGAATCCCTGATGCTCGTGATGTTGTGAGAATCGATGTGGTGGGCGGTTTAGCTCTGCAGAAAGTTACTGCCAACAGAAGCTACTTCCGGTTAGTTTTGTTGAGCATATAACCATTAATGTGCAATCCAACTATCAACTTAATCTTTTAGTTGAGATGGAGCACATGCTTCAATTTAGTATCAGAGCCATGCCAAAGGTCAAAAAAAAAAATAAAAAAAATTACGGTCCACGTGTTGCTTGGAGCCCATCAAAAGTAATCGGCCTGCACACGTGAGCTTCAATTAGTTTGGCATGTTTTCTGCAAATAGGGGGCGTGTTGAGCATATAACCATTAATGTTCAATCCAACTATCAGCTTAAGCTTTTAATTGAGATAGAGGACATACTTCAATTAGTTTGGCCTGTTTTCTGTAAATAGTTTTTACCATTGCATAGCCTGTGTTGTTATAAAGCTTCTTGCTGATATCAAATGTTGCAGAACAATTGCCAACATGGATATAAAACTGGATTTTGTCCCTCCTGCATTCATCAATTTTGTCTCGAGGCAGCTTATAGGTGGCGGGTTCAAGCTTTATAAGAAGGTCTGTTCGGGTTTATGATTGAGTTTGTTCTGAATCTGAGTGTGCAATAATCAACTTGTTCTTCAGCATTTCCTGACAATGCTTATTATCGTGTTGCAGGAAGTGGCTTCTGTTTGCAGAGGCGATGAAGATTTTAGCGAGGCGTTAAAGGGTGTGCAGTACAAGCGAATCCGTGAAGCTCTCTATTCAGATATAGAAGTGGAAGGTGTGAAGAGAAACAATGATATACAAACAAACGATACAGATGAAAATGAAATCCAGGAGGAGGAGGTTCGCGATTGTGTGACTGGGAACAGAAACATTTGTGGCGAGATTGAGGAAGTTGACGAGGAAGACGGTGGAAAGGCGGGGACTGTTGATGAGGATACTCAGAACCAAGATTCCCCGAGGAATCAAATCCTACAGGGAGGCTCCACCACTCGAAACAAGAAGATAGCCATTAGCCCCGAGGTTCAGCAAGCTCTGGCAACACTGGAAAAGGCTATTTCTTTCATCCGCGAGAATAGATGCAACTCAAATTTCAAATCTATGTGCAGAAGCAACATAGAAGATTCAAAATTCTCAGGATTTAACCAAATTTACATGAATGGCACCGGGACTACTACTGAAATATCGAGAAAGGAATCAGTAGAGATTACCTCATACGAGCATAGGATTAGCTCCTGCAGTCATAGTTCCAGGTAAATATAGTCTTGATTTCGACAAAACATCATAGGATATGTCTTGTATGTTACACTTTCTGCACTTTTTCCAGGCGTACGAGTTCTAGTTTGTGCACAAAGGAAACGAGCCATAATAAGATAGCACCGGTGTCACCAGATGCTTATGTTGCCGACCCTAATTCACATTCCTGTGGAGACCACGAAGCCGGAGAGACGATTTTGGAGAATATAGAAAAGGACAATAATCTGACAGCTTCTCATGTAAATCATATCAAAGAAGATAGAACTGGTAAAAGAAAAACCAGAAAGCTTTCATACTGTTGCTATAGTTTACTTTCTAGGCAGATTTCGACTTAAGAATTAACGAATAACATTGACAATATTGAAACATCAAATTGATAATTTTCTCATCCTTTTAAGATGTGACTTTTTCTGTAATACATATCGTGCTAAATCCCGTTTCCCTTCCCTGTTGAGACCATAAAAAACTGTTCGAAAATTAACTGCACTGGGAACAATCCCAGTGTTCATCATTTCAGAAATAAGATGGAGGGCTTCTTCAGATTTACCTGTCCTACAAAGACAAGATATGAAGATTGAATATGTTTTAAAATCGGGGAAAGGACCGTTCTGCTTTATATGCTGAAAAACACTCCATGCATCAGTAAACTTCCCCGTGTCTATATAGCCGCGTAAGAGTGCAGAGTAAGTAACAAGCGTTGGTTCACAACCCGACTCTTTCATCTCCTCGAGGCATGCCAAGACCTTCTCGATTTGTTTCTCCTTGAAGTAGTAGACTATCAAAGATGTATATGTATGTATAGTAGGCGGGATGCCAAGCTGTTTCATGGATTCGATTTTTGCCAATGCTGTTTTTAAGTCTCCCTTTTGCAGAAGTCCATGAATTATGCTTCCATGTGTATACTGAGCCAGGGTGTGCTGATCATCATCAACTTTGGCGATCAATCCTAAAGCCTCTTCCAACCTCCCCACTCGACAAAGGGACCGGACATACAAGGAATAACTCAAAGGAATGGTGAAACCGGATTTCTGTAAAGATTCAATACAGCTCCTGGCATCGCCTAATTTTCCAGATTCACACAGACAACCGAGGTAGGCTTCAGCTAACTCTTTATCGGGTCTGCAACCCGTTTGAATCATCTCGTGGAATAGCTTTATTGCTTCATCAATGTTCCTACCTTTCTTTCCACAAAGGCATATGATCAGAAACTTATATGTAGTTTCAGTAGGTTTGTGATTGCCATCTTTCATCTCTCGAAATGTTCTGAGAGCGATGTCTGTGAGGCCTGTTCGACCATATTGCATTATCATGATCGTCCATGTATCACATGTCATCAAGAAACCTTTTCTCCTCATTTCATAAAAGAGGCTTCTCATCTCTTTAAAGTCTTTGGCTTGTCCCGCAATCTTGATTGCCATGTGGTAGGATTCTGTTGTGTGTCTGTACCCAGAATGCTTCCCCACCCATGAGAAAAAGCGTAACGCTATACCAGCTTGCAGTCTGGAGTTACGCAAGATCTCAGTTACAAGTTCTGGTGTAAACCGAATACTGCATTTCTCCAATTGTTCGTTTACAAAACGCCAATCCATGGAGGATGACAGAATTTGACTGATCTCGCAAACACCATGTTGATGACAGGATTTCGATGCTGTGATCAATTCGACATGAGGCTCTGGCAGACTGGATACATCCCCGCCAGGGCCCACATTCCCTTCGCGACGAAACTTATAACCCCCCTGGATCTGTTCTATCTCTTTAAGCTTATTCATCTCTCCTTTTCTCCTCAAATAAGATGTAACCTGTTGGAAGATATCATCTCCAGGTTCCATTTTAGAGTCCTTCATTTCCTTCAAGAATGTCAGAATATCATCTGTGCCAGAAACTTTAAGAAGCTCCTTGATGAATATGCTATAAGATTTCCTACTTGGGCTAATACCTTTCTCCTTCATGCTCCTGAATACCCCCCAAGCTTCAGATACGTAGTTTTGGCGAATGTAACCAGCAATAACAGCAGTGAACGCCACACAATCCAATCGAACTCCTCTCTCCATCATCTCGTGATAGAGGTCCACACCTTTCTGAAACTCGTTTACCCTGAAAAGGCGCTGCATCAAAGCAGTATAGGTAGCTGTTGTGGGTAAATGTCCTGATTCTTTAACGCTTTGCATTAGATCAAGCGCTTTCGAAAGCTCATTTCTGCTCAAGAATGCACGAACTATAATCTCATAAAGATTCTCATTACCTGCGCTTCTTTTCTTCATGATATCAACAATCTCCAATGCATCGTTAATCCTGTCTGCCTTGCACAGTCCCTTCACCAATGCCTCGAAATTTTCAGAGTCAAGGCTTACATTTTTCTTCATCATTTCGCGAATCAATTCTAAAGCTTCTCGAATCCTACCTGCATTGCAAAGATTCTTTAGCATGAAACCATAGACTTCATGTTCTGAGATTTCTAAAGTGCTTATCATATCATCGCCAATCCTGTGAGCTGCAACGCTATCTCCAGAAACCGCCAAGCATTTAAGTAACTTTTTAAACAACCGCTCATCCAACCCCATGCCTTGATGGCTCATCTCCTTGTAGAATTCAAGTGCAATGTCTCCCTTTCCTGCATTACAAAGTGCATTCAACATAAGTTTATAAGCCAATGCATCTGGTCCGGGGCCATGTTTCTTCATCTTCTCGAAGACTAACAGGGCTTTGCCAATTAGCTTCGCGTGCCCACAATGGGAGATGATAATGCTCCATGTCTTAAGATTATGCTCACAAGAATGCTTCTCCATTTCCTCCAACAATTTATCAACCAGACCAAAATCCTTCGCCTCTGCAGCCATGTAAATCATCACATTATATGTCCCAGTACTGTGACTAAACCCTTCCACTGATTTCACCCAATTGAAGAACCTCAAAGCCAAATGAGGAACCTTGAAGCACCTCTTCAGTACCATCTCAACAATTTCCTCAGTGTACTCCAAACTCGCATTTTTCAACCTCTCTTCCATAGACACAGCATCATTTTCGTCCCTAACAATTTCAGTAATCTTATGAACAATCGGGCTAACGTCTAATGCACCCAAAACACCCATTTGCTTATCATTTGAAGAGAGTAATTCTTCATTCTCCTCGGCATTTCCACAAACATCAAGTGTGCAAGCTGCTTTTTGTACAATGTCCCCCACATTCTCGGGCTGGGTTCTTCCTGGTAATGTGAACCCAGATTGCTTTTCAACCCTTCTCTCATTCCCTGACTCTAAAATATCCCGGATTTCATTGAAGAGTGAATTAAGATTCTGGGCTTCACTCTCGCTGGTTTTCTTGGATTTCTGAAGCTTATACGACTCGGTGGCAAACGAGAGAGTGAAAAGCTGAAATCTTTGATGGAGTCTGAACAGATTATTCCTGGAAACTGTAGTTGAGAGCTCGAGTATAGACAAGAATCTCAAAATTTTCATTATTTTTTAGACTGGTGTTAGATTCTGGCGCCAAACACCCCTCTGTAATTCTGTAAATCATTAAGAGGGTTAGTTTGTAAAATGTCAGTCCTTTGGGGCCAAACTGCAATATTTTATAACATTAGATTCGTTGTCGCCTAGAAATTTCTAGTTAGAATAGGAATGGGTCGCAAGCAGAATCCAAACTATATATATTCGCCGGTTATTGAATTGTTCAGCAAGCAAAAGAGATGGGTTGGGTTTGGAAAGACGACGATGACGATGTTCCCCGCCGCTCCGGCGATAACCCTAGCAGGTCATCAGGCGGGGACGGCGGTCAGTGCGCCACCCGGAAAGTCGTAAGGACACAGTGCCGAATCGAGGAGTCCGAGCCTGGCAAGTTCGTCCGAAAGTGCGAGAAGACCGAGGAGATCTTCAAGGACTGCGTCGGAAGGTACAAAAAGAAAAAGCAAAATATTTTCTGATTTATCCTTTTTTGCTTGAAATTTGAATCGAATATGATCAATTGGCAGTAATATTCTGAATTTCTGATGATTATACTCATGTTTTCCTGGGAAATGTATATGAATTGTACATTTGTTGCGTAGATAGGTGAAAATCTTTGAATAGGGACAAGGTAGATCAGAGTAAAAAAAAAAAAAAAAAAGCCCTAAAACTGGAATTCAATTGTATACAAACTTCACCTCTGACTGGAATCCACTGATAGATAAACCAATCTTAATAGTTTCAGAATTGAATCTTGTGGGGCAACCCCAGTCAAGTTGTTTAGGTTGTTACCTATTCGACTCTGTTTGAGCGGCCTATTGGCCTTCTTAGTTTGAACCCGTTAGCTATGGGGATAATCTAAGCTCTAAAGTCTCTTATGGACCAAACTCGATCTTAAGACTTGTGAAGATTAGCTGATGCTGTGATGCAATGTTGTCTTAAGCTTTACCAGACATCTGTATTATGGAAAGCTTCCATTTACTACTGTATAGACATCATCAAAACCTTAAAGGCTTTTAGGACTTTGAGGTTCCATGTATCTGAGTAATTCGCTGAAGCATATCGTTTAACCATAGGAACTGCCACTAGTAAGTGTAACTTGCATTTTATACGACAGAATATAGCTTCTTTTTTTTTTTTTTATATGTAAACCACAATGTGGTCCGGGTCTTTCTCTGTCCGTTTAACGGTCCAGGTCCACCCGGTTTGCTCCGAGAGGCACAGAAGCAGGCCCAGAGGGAATCGTCACTTGGGAATTGAACCCGGATTATTCCAAAATTCTCTCCCACAAAGAGAGCTCATTTGCCACTTGAGCTACCCTGTTGGGTTAGAATATAGCTTTTGTTCCTTCTCTTCTGGAGAAGGATTAAGCTGCATTGCCTTCATCTACCTGAGAAATTAGGATTTCTTCTCATTAGCTATGAAGTAGGCTGAATATTCTGTCTGTGGTACTCTGAAATATTCTGTCATCTCGTGCTTTCTTGTTTGTGGATTCTTAGTTAGTTGTTGGTGAATCTCTTACATGTTGTATTAGTTGACTAGTCATGGCCTTGCTGTTTTCTCATTCAGGCTGCCTGAGATGGTGCAATCTAACAAAGAATACACCGAGGAAGATGTAACGAACCAAATGAATAAAGGGTTCGCTTTGCCATCCTTGGAGTCATCACATCAAATGCCTTTTGACTTCCCTGGGCTGCGCAGTGATGTTGAAGCCATTGAACGCAACTTCTTCACTGGCCTTGACCGCTTCTTTGAAGCAGCCGAGGACACCATGAATGGATTCTTTGGCTCATTTGGCATCCCTCGAGTCTACAGTGGTGATCAATCCTCCTCCTCAGCAAGGACCCGAGGTATACCAGTGGAACGCAACCCCCCGAAAGAACCTTCAACTGAAGTGAGCACTTCTGATGCAGGACTTGATTTTTCAGCACTGGCCAAAGATGTCTGAAGCTAGTTTTTTAGAGGTTTTGGCTATGGAGTTTGCAGAGTAGTTTGGTGATGGCTTTTTCATAGTATTGTTTATGTGATCCAGAATGTGGCTTAGAAATTTATAATATAATTTATATAATAAATCTTTTATTATATAAGATGTTAAATTGATCAATGGAAGCAACATTGTTTTTTTAAACACTTGTGATTCTTTACAAGGAAATATATATTTTATATTGTTTCAATCTTTTTTAACTTAAATAATCAATGTACCCATTGTAAGGTTCAATCCTGTGAATATCTATTCAGATAGTGATGACTTTAGGCCGAAAGGTATTAATCAAACTAAATTCATAAAATATATTGTAACAAATGTTTTCCATGAATGGTTTAGTGCAATCTTAAATGTTCTAGACATTAATTGAATTATGTACACAGCTACAATTTTATATTATATTTGGAGAGCGCAGAATGGAGCTGTTTGGGACGCCTATCTACCAATACCGAAGAAATTGATTGCCGCAGCGGCTGCCACCATGCACGCATGGTGACGAGTATACCACGCAGTTGTCGGCCGTGCACCAGCCGGAGAAACCGCCGCTGCTAACATTGCCAAGTCGACGCTGCTTTTACCGCCACTGCCCATCGTTGCGAACCAGACTGCTGCAACATGGCCAAGAAGGTGCTACGTCGACTTCGGGTATCGTCACACCACGAACTCGGCCACGATCGGAGCAATCCTTCTCGACGCCGAAGGTGGTTATATTTTGGCCTACAGCGCTTCCCTTCTGAGTTGTTTCTCCCGACTTATGGCTGAAGCATTCGTGTGCTACCTATCTTCGCTAGGAGCTCCGTCTCGATCGTATATTGGTTATACTATTGATGGTTGCAAGGCTTGCATATCTACGTTTGATTTCTATTCAATTAATTTTATTCCTAGATCACAGAATTATTTAGCTCATATTTTAACTTCTACAGCTTTGAACATGGTACGACTACGTATTGGGACGTTGTCCCGCCTGATTCTACTTCAGTTTATCTCTAAATAAAACTGCATTGGTTTGTTTTAAAAAAAAAAAAATCATAAAATATATAGGATAACGATAGAATAAATATGACTATATTTTTTAATTTTGATCCACATAATTATATTGAGAAAATATGAAAAGTTTTCTGTGAATAAATAAATAAATAATTTACAACGGTCTATGGACTTTCTAACTGGAAAACTACCAATTCTCTCTTAGAAACGCATGCACGTACACAAGAGAATGCCCACCCATTCCCAGAAAAAGGAAAACAAATCTAGAGAAAATTCTGATCAAGATCAAAACCCTAATCCAAATCCGGGAATTTCCATGCATGAAGATTACGTAGTGCATCGATTGATAGATACATTACAGAGAGAAACCAAAACACTTACCTCGTACAACACAAATTAACATCCCATAATCCTAGGTTGTTCTTCATACCATATATCCATTTCCAACCCTTATCTTTCTTGATTATATTGCATTTCTTGCAGATTGTATCTATATATATATAATTAAACACCCCCTTTCACACAAATTAAAGGGTTGTCTCAGAATCATTACATTATATTCTACAGATTTTTTTATAATATTTTATTTTGGCATGCATGGATTTACCTGTGATGTTTTGATATGTATTCCCCAATTTGAAGCTTTGTTGATTTGAAGCCAATACTGGATCAATATAATACCTGTGATTGAATGCATTCATATAACAATTAGCAATGCCGTTCCGCAAATTTGGGAAAAATAAGGAGCATAACGGTGTCGTCCATGGGAAAGCTTCGAAGAAGGGATTTCATTCCCTGTTTTGGTGGTTTCGGATACCGAACAAGCTTCGGGTGAAGAAAAAGGGGACAAGTAGTCATGCTGATTCACCTGATAAAGATGCAGAAGCTCCAGTTGAGACGAAGCCCCCAGCGATTGAGAATAAGCCCAAATCACCTGAAGCCTCAAAGGTGCAGGATGGTGATGTGGTTGAGGCAGGAGGAGGGAATGTGAGGGCTGAGAAGGTGGCTGAGAAGGTTGAGAAGCCACCAGATCCTTCGAAATCGCGAAAGCCACTTAATACCAAGAGGATGCTCAGTGCTGGGCTGCAGGTTGATTCTGTGTTGAAGACCAGGACTGGGAATCTGAGGGAGTTCTTCAATTTGGAGGAGAAGCTTGGGCATGGGCAGTTCGGGACGACTTTTCTGTGCACTGAGAAGGCAAGTGGGCAGAAATACGCCTGCAAATCTATTGCCAAAAGGAAGCTTTTGACTAAGGAAGATGTGGATGATGTGAGGAGAGAAATCGAGATCATGCATCACTTGGCAGGGCACCCTAATGTTGTTTCGATTAAAGGGTCTTATGAGGATGCTGTGGCAGTCCATGTTGTGATGGAGCTATGTGCAGGGGGTGAGCTGTTTGATAGGATTGTTAAGAGAGGCCATTACTCCGAGCGCCAGGCTGCTGACCTCACCAGGACCATCGTTGGTGTAGTCGAGTCCTGCCACTCTTTGGGCGTCATGCATAGGGACCTTAAGCCCGAGAACTTCCTCTTTGTCGGTGAGGAAGAGGACTCCCCTCTCAAAACTATCGATTTTGGATTGTCCACCTTCTTCAAACCAGGTATATATATATATATCCTTGTTATAATTTCAATTAGCTAGTCCTGGCCTCAAATTTATCAATTAGTTCTTCTGATAGCTCATAATGTGATGTGATTTCTTCATTTCTTGGATTTAGTATACCATAATGTGTTGTGTGAATGTTGTGAAACATAGGGGATTTGTTCAATGATGTTGTGGGGAGTCCCTATTACGTTGCACCAGAAGTTTTGCTCAAGAATTATGGTCAAGAGGCTGATATCTGGAGTGCAGGTGTGATCGTTTACATTCTTCTTAGTGGCGTTCCTCCGTTCTGGGGAGGTAAGTTAGTTGATCCTTCTCAAGTCTATATCAGCCTGATAAAGTGCGTGTTTTACCAGATGTTTATGCTGCTTTTATTTGTTCTATATATTCGTGTTTGATTCAGAAACCGAGCAAGAAATATTTGATGAGGTGTTGCATGCTGATATTGATTTCAAGTCAGAGCCATGGCCTCATATTTCTGAGAGTGCTAAAGATTTAGTGGCAAAAATGCTTGTTAGAGACCCTAAAAAACGGCTAGTTGGTCATGAAGTTCTGTGTGAGTTGCTCTTATCGTCTCCATTCTAAACTTCACCATTCGAATTTTTAAGCTCTATCTGTGCTTTTTTGAATTTGGCAGGCCATCCTTGGGTGCAGGTTGAAGGGGTGGCTCCAGATAAGCCTCTCGATTCTGCAGTCTTAACTCGCTTAACCCAGTTTTCTGCCATGAACAAGCTCAAGAAAATGGCTCTCAGGGTAAAAATTTGTTCTGATGTGAGACCATAACAAAGTTATGGTTTTTGTCACGAAATCTCTACTACTTGTTGTGCAGGTTATTGCAGAGAGGCTGTCTGAAGAGGAAATCGCGGGGCTAAAAGAAATGTTCAAAATGATAGACATAGATGGGAGTGGGAACATCACATTCGAGGAACTGAAGGTAGGACTAAAGAGATTCGGTGCAGATCTGAACGAGTCTGAGATACACGATCTGATGAAGGCCGTAAGTGTTTCTGATCTGTAACATAAGAGAAGTTGCAAGTTAAGTGTGTTTTGTTTACTTGGTTCCAATGTTTTTTTTTTTGTGGAAATTCAGGCAGATGTGGATAACAGTGGCACTATTGACTATGGGGAGTTCATAGCTGCCATGCTGCATATCAATAAGATCACAAAGGAAGACCATTTGTTTGCTGCATTTTCGTATTTCGATAAAGATGGGAGCGGGTATATCACTGCAGATGAACTCCAAAAGGCGTGTGATGAGTTCGGGATAAAAGATACGCGTTTGGAAGAAATGATTCAAGAAGCTGATCAAGACAATGTAAGTTATCCATTTTTCCAACAAGGAAAACATTCATATCTGCTACATACTTCACCTTTCTGTACAATGTTTTAACTCTTTCGTGTTTTAGGATGGTCGGATTGATTATAGCGAGTTTGTGTCCATGATGCAACGAGGAACTACAACCATGCGTACGCAATAATCTTTGTCCTTTTCTGCAGTTTCTGTTGCTTCATTCTGTTTTCTACTTATTTCCCATGATTCTGAAAAGCTAAGCACACAATCTTGTGTTTCCAGGTTTATAACATCATTGCAGATCCCCGAAGAACGAAGATAACGACAGCTAGCTAGCTATTGCGTGATCTACCTCAACTCCCTACAAGTCTGCAAAAATCACAGGCAGCATGATAATACTGGACTGGTTCTTGGCGAATTTCGTAATCTGTGGCAAATGGCATTATATGATGATGGTGATGATGAATTTCTGGAGAAATGAGAGTGAAAAGGATGTTTGAGGCATTGCAGATTTGCAGGCATTCTTATTAGCTTTCAATATACTGCTAAAGCTGAGCTTGAATGTAAATGTTAGAAACCTGTGGCTTAATTAACCAAATAATAACTGTAAATATTCTGCTTCTGCAGTGTTTTCCACAGCCAAAATAGGTGCAAAAGTTTGCACCCAAAGTTGTACTCATACTATTCCATACTACCCTTTAATCTTTTACCTCATTCATTTTAATTTTCAATAATATTGACAGTTTTTTATATCAGGCTCAACCTGCAAATGGGATGAATTGCATGAATTTGATTAGTTTAGGAACCTAATTGTTGGATTTTTAGGTTCAATTACCTAATTGCATTATCGTGTGAATGGCCTATTTGACCCTTATTTCATAATATAATAATAATAATAATAATAATAACTAAGGGTAATTTTGTTATTTTCACCTTTTTTTTTTCCTTTCCACCTTCTGTTGAATTACAATTCATTAAAAACATGAATTATAATTCCTTTCAACTAAACAATGTAGTTTTTATAAGTATTGAATTTTATTGTAAAAAAAATTCAATTACACCCGACCAAACACTTGTTAACACACAACATGGCATACATATTTTCTCAATTATTTTCGTACCAAAGCACATAGCACAATATTAACATGGTACAAATGTACAATGCATATAAAATAATAATAAAAATCTGCACCAATAATCTGCAACACTTGAGGGACCATGACAGTTGAGCAATCAAATCAAGCAGGCTTTACATACACTCATGGATACTTTGCTATTCATACATCAACATTCAAGAAACATAAATATGTGTGGTAGATATTACTTCTCAATCAATTCAAAATAAATTTAAAAAATGAAGACATAAATTTAGTCTTGTTATGAACTAGCTAGTGTAAGTAATTAAGACACATCCTATAATTACTTCCTTGATTAGTTTTAAAGACAAGAGATATGAAAGTTTTAAGTTTGAAGTTCATATTTAAGATGGATAATCTACTATATTTACTGCTTCTAACAAGAATTTATTACTGATTTTAAAATATTTACCAGCCAAGGAATCAAGATCCAAGGAACGTTCCATGGCACATGAAGAAGGGTATTGCCCGCAGGCCCCAACTTGCAATATATTCCATCAAATATCATACAAAAATATATTTTAGGGTTTACATATTGTATTGTGTAGTAGACAACTTCTATTCCTTTCATGCCAATCAAAGAATAAATTGAGTGAAGTCAATGCAACCAACTAACCATACCTCTCACTAATCTTTTCCATGTGAATGCCACCTCACTTCCTCTTCTTCCTCTTCAATCTTGATTTGATTAATCATTCATAAATAAATATTAACTGCTCTGTATTTAACACATGTATTCTCAATAGATTATAAGCAATTACTTAAACTTGAAATATCCTCGTGAAACTCTAATTGACATGAGATCGAAGATATTGTCATATTTGAGTGGAGACTGATTTTGCATGGATTGTCAAATGACTACCGGGAGACTCCATGCCTCAAGGTCGCTCGCTGAATATTTTGTAGAAGTTTTTACAGGTGATGGGAAGATCAGGTGAAGTTCATTTGATGCATGCATTAAGGAACGAAATCAAATTACAGAATGCATATTCGAATATTAATTACAAACTTTCCTATAAATCAAAGTAATTAAGTACACAACTCGTTATAAGATATAGTAGGCCAATTATCTAGCACGTTTATCTCTTTTATAAAAGGAAAAATTGTAAAAAATGTCCATCTATAATATGTCAATTATCAATGTCATCCCTGAATTATGAGTAGTGTAAAAGTTGCCCTTCAATTATCAAAACGGTGCACATATAGCCCCTCCCGTAACGGACATGTGGTTCCTCGTTAGTGTACGACACCGTTAAGTTGGAGTAAATATGTAATTTAGTTGTTTTTTCCCTCCCTCGATTCGAAGTACTAGCGATGGACAGCGGTGGGGAACCACAGGTCCGTTACGGGAGGGGCTATATGTGCACCATTTTGATAATTGAGGAGCAACATTTACACCACTCATAATTCAGGGGTGACATTGATAATTGACATATTATAGAGGGACATTTTTTACAATTTTCCCTTTATAAAATCATCAGTAAATCAGATTGCTCATATGATAGCTAATGAGTCCTTTTCATAACATAAAATTTTGTTGAACTTATCAATGCAATTATCAAAACATTGGGGCGGATTTGTAAAAAACAAAAGTTGGCAGCAAGAATCGGCACCTTGTCTGACGGACGGAATATAATAATGGGAGACAGACCCACCACCTGCGCCACCGTCCACGACGGCCACCACGGGCAGGACCGACCGACCAAACCGTATCTGTATCTATACATATTATATTGCGCACAATTCCATACACAAAAAGACAGAAACAGGTACCCAGCAAGACTCTGAGAAACATGCATTCACAAGCTAAAAGGATGCACAAATAGATGCCAGAAAAAAACAAGGCAAACCAGTAGCCACCACCCATGAAATAACAAGAAAAATTTTGGGTTTCTTTTTTTTTGTTTGGGATATATTTTTGCACACCAAAAAGTAGGCCAAGATGAGGGCTTAAATACAAATCAAAAGAATTGAATAGTAATTACAGTTGTTATTATCACAAAACAGAGAGAGCAAAATGGCCTTTCAGATCTCCTCAGGATTGTACTGCTGCAACAATGGTGTTTAATTTCTTGATCATCTCATAATAGAACAGCTCTATATACTCACCATTTGCAGTATCATCTCGCGCTCCAGATCTCTAAACTTTCAGAGTTTTCGGGGCAGAATTTCAATGGCAGCCAGCAAAACCGAGACTCCCCAACATCGTACAGGCTACTTCCATTAGCTTCCCTGGAAACAGAAAGATATCATCAGCCAACCGAAGAAAAATCTCCACAACAGCTAAGAATTGTAACAATTAGTGTGACTTTACATCAAATTATTAGTATTATGGACCGTTTTAGCAAGCAAAAGGCGAAGGGCTGACAAATCTTTACAGCTGCTTTTGAACAACAGAAGAAAGGAATAGGAATCATAAGTCAATAGACAGGTAAGAAGTTAGGAATCAATAATTGTGGGGTGGCTCACAAGCCCCAGCTGGGCTGTGCTGTGCTGGAAATTTTACGGTTTTTACCAGCCTGATTCTCACAACTCAGTGAATAACACATATGAACCCCACCACCTGACCCTCCCGTGTGCTAGCTTCGTTTTGCTAAAGTCCCCCGGGAAAAATCAAACCTAAAAATGTTTTCTTTAATCAAAATATACACACACCGACAGTTCTTGACCTACCTATTAGTGTAAACTATTTTTTTGAAAGCTCAATGATTTGCACACCTACGCCTGGTCTAACCTTTTCTCTTATTTAATCATAAAACGAAAGCAACATATTAATCAGAGTGACAACGACAATTGGCTAATTTGCACTAGAAGAAACTCGCAAAGCTACACCTAAAACCATGATGTGCCAACCAGACTTATTCGATCCATATACAAAAGTTAGATACATAACTTCTCCATTGAGCAAGATAGTCCATCAGAAAAAGCTAAGAAAATTGCAAGTGCCACCTGCAAGCTTAATCAAATATTCCCTTTGATGCAACACCACCAACAACAAACAACCTCGACGAAACCACTAAGTTTCAAGCCATTTCTATAGTAACACGAGATTAGAAAGCGTTTTTCTGATCTAATCCCTATTAGCAGCCACACTAACCTTAAAAACCACAGCTGACATACATATGTATACACATTAAACTCATTTTGAAATTTAAGGCAATTACATATAAAGACTTCAATTTTCACAAGCAAGTAATCTTGTAATAATTCAAGAAATCAATACAAACAAGATGGCAATCCTTCCCGGGACAACCTCAACCAAGTTGGTAAGGTCTTTGACTTCGTAACCACAAGGCTATAAGTTCAATTCCTAATAAGAGGAACCAATCAGGCAACCTAGGCTTGTTTAACTCGTTGTGATCCTTTGTTGACTAGGATCACAAGACAGACTTTCTGGGTTTGGGCGGGTCAACTATGGACAACATAAGTCCCTTATCGGCTAGGTTCACGAGGCGGGCTTACCTAGTACATACTAGGTTAGTGTCTATGTGTTTTCCTTGTCACTCAAAAGATAGCAATACTTCCATAGCTAATTCACCAAGAAATGGATGAAAAGCGCATACCTCTTCTTTGCTTTGAGACAACCTTAGCAACAGGGGCAGCTATAGGAGCTGCCGGCTTAGTCTCCTCCGGCGGGAACAGAACCCCGTCAATCCCCTGTACAGAAATCCGGCCGTCGGTATATATATCTGGGTCGAACAGATACGCCGACCCTTCTCCATGGCCGAATTTCACGGAGCCGTCGGCCTCCTCCGCCACAACTTTATGGGGCAACCGCAATGTGTCGTATCTGATTTTGCCGAACCTCCTCACCGCATTGTACATACTCTCCTCCGTCTGGTACTCCGGTATGAGATGATAATACATTATCTGCTCCGGCGCCCCGGGCTCGCTCAGCTGATCGGTGGTGAGCTTAGCCATGGCTTCATCGTTGGGCGCTAAAACTGTCAGCACGTAGCCTTCTGAAACTAATCTCCCCATTTCCGTAGCTAAAGACGTTAAATTTACCAGAATGTCGGCCAGTTCGTTGTACCCGCCGTAATGCAGGAGGGTTTGGATGAAATCTTTGACCTGACTCTCGCCGTCGAAGTGGTGGTGGTGGCCGCCGGGTCCCGGAGCCGGCGCCGGCGCTAGAGCTGGCCCGGGGGCCATTGCGTCGTAGATTGGTAGAGCCGGAGGGGCGCCGGCGGGGACGGGATTCGCCGGTTTTTTCAGGCGGTGAGTCCTGGGGTCCACCTCCGGAGCTCCGGTGGGGAGCACGGCGGAGATTGATCTCAAGCTCCGTCGAGTGTTGAAATCCTGCTGCACCGACTTGGGGATCAACACGCGCTCTATGCCGTGAATTACACCGTCCGGCCGGACTACATCGTCCACTCTGAACACCTTCGCCGCGCTCACCTCTCTCTCCCCTTCCCTCTTAGACACGACGAGATTCTCCTCGCCGGCGTCGCGGCACAGAGTGAAGTGATTCTGAGCCCCCGTAGATTCCCCCGGCCAGTGCTTGGACTCGATTCGAGTGGGAATCATGTGGAAGAGAAGCAGATTCTGCAGAGACCGGAGATTCCCCGGCTCAAGCAAGAAGCGTTTGAAGTCGGGGTCCAAATCTCGCTCCAAGGCCTCATTTTTCGGCGCAAAAATGGTGATATTGTGGCGGGAAACAGCTTCCTCGAGAGTCTGCAGCAAAAGCGCCTTCTCCACGAGCTCAGACAGCTCGGTATAATGCGAATCCAGAAGCGCCACCAACACCGAGTTAGAATTGATCTGAGCAGACGACGCCACAGTCTGTTTACTCCATTGATTTTCTTGCAATGCAGCGCCGCTCACGGCAAGAAACAAGAACACGGCGACGGAAAACAGAAGCTTGAAGAGGCCACAGACCCTGGAATCCATGGCCGCTTGCAGACTGAACAAGATTTCCACTTTCCCTCTTTTCTTTCTCTCTCTCTCTCTCTCTCTCTAGAATGTGGGATGGGATGTGAGGAGGCTCTTTGGGTTTTTGGCGTGTATTGTGGGAGTGGAACGTAGGGCTGTGTATAAACGTAAGGTTGGTTGTCTGGTGGAGAATATTAAAGAAGCCCCCATTTTTCTTTCTTTATTTATACTTCCTTTTATGGAGTAATTCTGTAAGCTACTTCCTTATATGGAGTAATTCTGTAAGCGATGATAGGATTATAAGGCAAATTAATTTCGCCTAATAATCTAAACAATGTCCGTATGGTAAGCTCAATTGGTTATTGAGATAAAAGTTAAAAAGAATGATCAGGATCGAATTTCACCAGCTGTAGTTTGAGAGCAGGGCTCCTTGTCAGATTGGAGTGTGGAGGTTACCATAGCTCTACAATCCTGCCACATTTGACAGATTTGTTATGACATTTATCCAAAAAAATGAATCCTCTAACTAAAGTAGTAAACATCAAAATTAATTGTTTGAATCCTGCTATATCACTTGACAGATTTGTTATGACGTCGAAGTGTGGGGCCCTTAGGATTAGGGATTCAGCCTTTTGAGATAAGATTTGTTAGGACGTTTATCCAAAAAGATGAATCCTCTAACAAAAGTAGTAAACATCAAAATTACTTGTTACGAATCATTATAGCACCAATCAAATTATTTGGTGTTTTTTTATCTCTGAATTATAAGTATTTAAGGTCTAAATATTTTTACTTTACCTAATATCCAACACCAAATTAAATTAAATTCAATGACGCGAAATATAGTTGGTAGAACTCTTGTAAGGTACGAAGTACACAAAAATAACAAAATAAAAAAAAAAATAAAAATGAGTCTGTTTGGAGTTTGACTGAGAGTGACAAAGTCAATTTTCAGACAGGCTGTACGTGGGACAACACAGCGGCGAGTGACGATCTGAAGACCAGAAGGTGGAGGGAAGCCGCGCCCGTCTTCGGCTCCAGACGGCTGTCGGTAGCCGGACTACGAAGCCGAGAAGACGGCTTACTGCTTACAGAAAAAACGTGGGAAGCCGGGATGTGGCTGTCGGTGTGGGACTAAGAAGCCGAGCCACGCCGGCAAGCCACAAGTGTTTTCCAAGCAGAACGAAAAGTCCACTCTCGTTGTCGGGTAGCGTGAGGCGCGTGAATGGCAGTGCTTTTGGGGTTACCGTACCAACAGGTTTCATTGAAGGGACAGCTTGCCACATGAAAAATTGTCTTTAAAATCTTTTGTAAGGTGAATGGACCGATTTACCCCTTCCCCTACCGTCGGTGGAGGGTGAAATGGACCATCTGATTTAAGGGCATTTATTATTATCTGCAAATCTTTATTTAGTGGCCCACTATTGTACTATGTTCTTTCCAAGTACTTCTACTCTTTGTCCTCATGTAGGGACATGACCCTAAAATATCTTTATTTCCATAGTGAATAATTCTCCAAGATTACAATAAACACCCTGCTTACATTGCACATGATTCATACCCAAAACTACACCAACCCTTTACTTTATTTAAATAAGATGATCCGCAAATTATTAGTTCACACAGTGCTACGTAGACTATAATAAAAATATATATATTTTTAATATATTAAAATTATATTATTTATGTATTGAAGTACATTATATAAAGTAATGTACTTTTCTTGAATGCAATATATATTTTTATTATACTAAAAATATATTATTTGTGTACTGAATATACATTATTTGATTATATGATTCACACAATAATAATTGGAGGTGATCAAGATGGGCCAAAACATACGAGTTAATCACTAACCACCTTATAATTAAACAAGTTATAATCGAAAGGTTTTTTGTCTATGAAGAAGCGAGCTTTGCGAGTTGTGAGTTGACCGACGACCTAATGCTTTTGTTTTGTTTCCTCATTTTAGAAAAAGAGAAATAATGAGAAGAAAAATTAACAATAATAAATAGCATAAAATATTTGTTTTTATAAATGGTTTAATAGAAAATAGTAATTTTATTTTTAATTGTTTTATTCTTAGTTATTTTAAAATTAGACCATAGATCGATCCACGAGACCTACCACTCAATATGAGGCGAGTTAAGACCATGAAAACTCGCCCTTGGCCCTTGCAAGCTTGGTGAAATTTTCAGTTTGTTGTGAGGTGATCCAACCTGCATTAATACCTCTATATTATATTTTTCCTTATTCTAACACAAATACAATGTTGTCTTGTTGAATTGAGTTGATTTTCTATTACATATTTAATTTTCGATTGCATTAATATTTTTAGATTTGATCGTCGAATAATAATTTGGATATATTTTATTTTTAAACTTTGATGATAGTTCAAAATTTAACCTTTCGATCTATATCTATTATGCCTCACTCTCAAATAATTTGAAAGTTATAAAAATAAGTTACTCATTACTCTTTAGTCATTAAAAAAAACATTTAAGCAAAATTTTGTATCAGTTTATAATAAATGTTAAAACCTTTCATATTCATTGCTTAATCATGAATTAATAAAATATTAAGTATAAATTAATTAAATAAAATCACAATGTTGGTGCTTGTGGAATTACGCCCCTTTATCTATTCTATCTCTACCGCTACCCAAAAGGCATCTTGTTCTCATTAGCATAAAAGGAAGAAATAAGATTGCATAGAGTACAATATATATATATATATATATATATATATATATATATATATATATATATATATATATATATATATATATATATATATATATATATCAGGGGATATTCTATATAATGGCCGGAAAAGAGATGATGAATGAGGATAGAGAATTGCTATAAGATATATGCTTGATTTGTAATCTCTAAATAGGCATTAGTTTAGGGTATCTAATAACTATTAGTTCTATGTGTTTCCGTATGACAATTTCACACGACTATTTTTACTTTTCATGTTTAAGGTGTTTTGTATTTTTTTTTTTATACAATGTTTCTAGGGGTATTAAAGTGAGTTGAGTAATGTTGCAAAAAACGTTAGGCGCCCCCTAGGCGCCGCCGATTTTTTTTTTTTTTTTTTTTAATTAAAAAAAATTTTTTAATTAAAAATTTTCAAAATTTAGTACTAAAACATAAGGTTTTCATAGTTATTTCATAGAAACTATTTACAAAAGTGGTTGTAAAATTGTTCAAAAGATTGTTTAAACCATCTAAATATATAAAAAACTAAAATTAAGAGCTAAAGAAGCATTTTTTTGAGAAATTAGTGGACCAAACCGCCTTCGGAAAAAATACGCGATTTGAAAAAAAAAATTGTGCGAATCGGACAACCGAGTCAAAAGTTATGCCTTTCGAAACTTTTCCGACATTAAAAAAATAAAAATAAATAAAAAATCGCCGACCGGCCGGCCGCGGAGATGGCCGATTTTGGCCTTCTTCGCGGCGGCGCAATGGCGCCTAGGCGCGATTTTTGCAACATTGGAGTTGAGCCTCGTGGACGGGTTCTAACTTATTCATGGTGGAGCGGGTTAGAGTTGAAATTTTTTATGGTCAATTGCATTTTTTTTTTCTTTTTTGGTGAGGTCAAGAGGACTTATTTGAAGGGATTTTGTGTGTATTTATGTTAAATGACCTAATTACACTTTCTTAAAAAGTTGTGACCCTTATCCCTATATATATTTTTAAAAAGTTTGAGTGACCCTTATCCCTAATTTTATACATTAATATTCTATTGATATTTACCTTGTTAGAATATGAAATCTCTTTTTTACCGTGAAATTATCAAAAACTTGGAAATTTGCCCTGTTTGGTAAATGGTCGTTAGCTAATAGCTGTTAGCGGATTGTGTTAATTAGAAAGTATAACTAGTTGATAACATTAGCTGATTGTAGAAAAATGATTTGGTAAATTAGCTGTTAGCTGATAGTTGTCTGGTATAATTTATTTTCTGAAAAAGCTAATTGAAAAAGTTGCTTGGAGTAGCTTTTTGAATTTTAACATTTTGGAGTTACAAAAAGCTAATTAACAAAACACTTGTATATATTAATATTTTAATTAAATCAAACAATTAATAGTGACTTTCAAAAAAAAAAAAAAAACAATTAATAGTGGTTAAATAAGCCAAAACTGACCTATAGGACAATTTTTTTTACCAAACAGGGCCTTTGTAAAATATCAACCATCACCCATTCACTCCAAAGTGGTTGATTGGTCAATAACATCAACCACTAACCAGGTGGTAAAAAAAGTTGGACAATTAAACAAACCAACACAACTGGTGGTTGTTGGTAATTTTCAGTCTAACACAACAAGTATTTTCACACAAACTTAAATTTACAAGTTTCTGCAAAAAACTTGTCTTCTTATATACATTATATTTGTCTTCGATAGGTTGAGAACTAATTATAATGACAGAAGTGAGGCAACATCAACAGGTACCAAGATTATGCCTAAGATGACAAGGAAGAAACCAAAGAATATTAAATTCATGAGCTTAGCTATGCAACGTACATGTTGCACTTCAGCATCTCCCAAAGTAAGATGGTGACATGCAGGTACATATTGTGTCATTTCTTGCCCAACCATTGAAGGAATCTTACAACCTAGCGAGCCACTTAGTCATTATAATTTATTCATTTACTATTCTATCAAGTCGGGATGTTGAAGTCTTAAGGACGAGAGAATTTCACCTTTTGTACAAAGAAGGAATATTACATCCAGCTTAGATATACTCTTGCCATTCTTGACTACGATAGCATCAACACCTCCATTTCCATGGCTAATAAGATAAATTTCATCAAGAGTTAATTACACCAGAAGTCCATTGTCTTTGGTTTAGTCCCAAATTATCGTTTTTGCCATTTAACATCCCAGACTATTATTTTTTGGACACTTTTAGTCCTTTTCATGACTTTTTCTATTTTTAGTAAGGGCATTTTTGTCTCTTCATGTTTTTCTTTTATTATTTTTCATATTTCAACCGTTTAATTGGTTTAAAACTTTAGGTAACCTCTGAGTTTTAGTAACCATATATTTCAATCGGATTTTAGTAAAGTTCTAAACCAATTAAACTGGTTGAAATCAGAAAAATAACAAAAGAAAAATATGAAAAGACAAAATACTAAAAATAAAAAAAGTTATGAAAATGACTAAAAGTGTCCAAAAAACAATAGTTTGGGAT